ATTTAAAAAAAAAAATTTATTTACGAAAAAAATTTTTTTATATTAAATTTATATACTAATTAATTTTTGTAATCCAAAATGTATCATTTCTATACTACTGACGTATAAAGGGAAAATTTTATTAAATAAAAATTTTTATTTAAATATAGTGAAAATATTCAGTGCTGCAGAATAATTGGAAGAAATGGCTTTAATAAATAGGGTTTATAGAACAAAAATACGTCAATGTGAACTTTTGTTATTTGTGCGAGTCTATAAATGCATTTATGGATATTACTTGTATTTGTGTGTATGACACATTCATATATAAATCGAGTGAAATATTAGTAGTTTTATCAGTTTTTAATTTTTCTATTTTACAAAAAAATTCTAGGTGTTTATCAACGTAATATGGTTCATTAGCGCGTTATTGCAACTTTCCATCTTAATGTCACTGTTATTATATATTGTTGACAGGTAAGAATTCAACAATTTATTTTTTATAAATAGATAAAAATGTACCTTTAATTTTTGTAATATGATTCCCTGATATAATGCTAAATCGATTACATAAGCTTTAGTAAAGTGTTTCAACTATTTGAGAGTGTTTAGTCCGTATGGGGTGATGTCTATTGGTCCGTAACAAAAGGTCGTATATGGGCGTGATACTACACGTGGCCTAGATTCATGAAATACATTTGTACAGACTCACACAATGTATTTGTTTACTATTTACCGACAAGACAAACCCGAAATTACTCAAGTGAAAAAATAACAGTTTTAGAAATGTAAGGCAATATCTAGGAACACCTACATTAATCCCGAATATACTACAAAATTTATTTTCATATTTTAACTTATAGTACTCTCAATTGCTTGAAATTAATATTTTGTTATAACCGCATTATGTATTTGATTGCAAACTTATAAACGTATGAAGAACAATAAAATTTGTATTGTATATTCGAATGTAACTTCCTGTATGCGTAATCTCAATTAAAACGCCGTATTGCTGAATACGGAACAGTTTCCACGGCGAAAATATTTGAAGGGTGTAAAGCAGACAGATTGTAGGCGTTGGCCCTTTACGGAGAACTAATCTCTGGAGAACCGTTTTATCTGCTGGATGCTACACACAAAAATATTGTATAATTTTTTCAATGCATTAGCTACTGGTAGAAGCTATTTAAATAAATGGAATGTTTTAAGATTTAAAAAGTAAAAAATATTCAATGTTATATTTATATACTTTTTTTACAAAGCTATATTAATAGAAAGCTTGCGGCCAACGCTTTCAACGCGAAAACGTGTACGTCGGACACTCAGCGCCGCCTTCATGTAAGCCTAGAAGTTCGACAACGACGAGAAAATACTAGTAATAATCACTGCTAGAGCAGCAATAAATTTTAAAAGCACCACCATTGGCTAGTATTGTTTGCGCTATTGCTGTTTCGCCATCAAGCCTATGTAGCTGGAAAGCCTGGACTGAGTGAAATTTGGTAAACTTGCAGCTTTGCAGATAAAGTTTGAAATGTCACTTATATTCCTTATTAAATAAGAAAGTAATCGCACGGCTTCCTTCAGAATATTTTTGTAATCGCCGAAAATTTTAACTGTTCCTTTCGTGTTTAAAATTGTAACGATGAGAATATCTTACTTCAAATCAGCTATATAACTAGAAAAATTTTAGAGTTATTCAATTTTGTAACTCGTCACGAAGCTTCTTGCGAATACCAAAGTAACATGCGTAGGTACAAATGATGCTAGTGAATAACAGCAAGTATATTGGTTTCTGTCAAATGCTCCTAACTCTGTTTTTTCAACACGTACAAAATTATTTCATAATGGTCTGAAATAGATTCTCTTTGAAGTGGTAGATTTCAAAGAGTGTAAAGTGTAATCCCCAAAGTCGCTTACATTTTTGGGTTTTCGGTTCTTAATTTATCTAATTTTAGGTTTTGATAATACTCGAAAAGTTAAACTTGCCGAATTCCAGTAGGAACGTTTGGCAGCTTCCAAAGACTACCAAACTGCCGATCATAAACCGCAGATAACGCTCGGCCATTGAACACATTATTCATCCTTTAAGTTTTACGTCTTCAGAATGGTCACATATTAAACAATATCTTACCGCCTCTGTATTGCATGAATGTCTGGCTTGTATAGAATGTTTGTTGTTTGCAGCGTCAAGAGCTCAATAGTGGTAAGATTTGATACTCATTTTTTAAAGAATTGTTTTTAGTTTGTTACTAAATCTCACAACAAAGTAAACTTCGTCGCATTTAAAACCCTAAAATTTGTCAAAATGTCATTCAATACTTTATTCTTTAAGTATTTATATAAATAGAAGTTTTCGATATTATTATTTAACGGATACTCGATATTTTGAATTCGTTTACTCTGTATTGAATATCGTTTTGCAGATGGCCCAGATTTGGGAGACTAGCCATAATTGCATCAATGTTAACAGGGATTATCATGTATATAGTTGATGTAGTTTCAAACAGATATTACGTGATGTTTGGAATACCTGCGGCTTTTGAGTATAAACTTTTAACTTTTTTTATCATTTGATAATGAATGATTATTAATCAAATATATTATTTTTATTTTTATATATTATTTTAGGAAAACTCATAAATATATTGTTTATAATTATCGTAAACCATATTATTCCCATCTTGGTACTTATTGTTTCGGTGCTTTAATTGGAGATATATTAAGAAAGAAGAAACAGGTCACATTTGAAAAGGTACACTAATTTTATATTATTTATTATTACAGTAGATCGTCAATTATCCGAATCAATTAGGGACTGGAGTTGATTGGAAAAAAATCAATTTTTCGGATAACCGAATATGTTTGAAAAAATACATTATTAATATAGTATATTAGTATATCACAATAATAGTACAGTCGACCCCCTATAACACTGTTGATTATTCCGTCTTATATTAATTCCATGTTGTACGAGTTACTTAAATTTTACAAATACGTGAGCCATTCACAGCCGTCACACGTATTTGATAAATATTGATTGAAAATAAATTATTCATTGCTTTAAATTAATAAACATAATTCTTTCAGTAATCAAAAAGAACTGTATACTTTAATTAAATTTTGCAGCATAACCGTATATTTTGCACCTGTCTTTACTTTGGTATAAAACGGATTCGTGTATATGACGCCTTTTCTACGTAATCAATTCCAACACTTACACACTTTCCATTACTTATAGTATAATGTTACGAATATAATTAATCATTGTATAACAACTCATGGCATAGAAGAAAACGGATAAATTTACATTTATTATATATTTAATATTTAATTAAGTGCCGGCTGCTAACGTGATATACTGCTGTTCACGGGAGTGTTACTCGTGATGTCATTAAATATCACAATTTCCATTTAAGACATTTTCTCTTTAAATTTCTAAACATTTATTTCTAATTCACAGAAAGCAATATCACCAAAACTGAAATTGAACTTTTTACCTAGTCCGTTTATTAAGAATTTCCCGTTTTAATTCTTAGATTACCCTTTTACTTTGTTGGACGGGATGCATTGTCTTAATGACATTATCTATTTTTGGAGTGCGTAGTTACAAGAAAAATATTTTGGCCAACGAAAATATAATCATCGCCTTTCAGTGCATTTCTCCATTTGCTTGGACCGTAGGATTAGCTTGGTTGACAGTGGCTTGTGTCACAGGTCACGGAGGTAAGGAAGTTTTCATTATCTAGTGTTTACGGTGGACTTTTTTATTCTAAATATAGTTATCAATAAATACATTTACGGCGTTTTTGTATTTTTTATATAACCTACTGTAAATTGTAATACAGCATTAACATTTATATTATTATTAATTGCGGTTGCAATTATTATTAATTGTGTTTTATTAATTAATTTAGGTAAATAGATACGGTAAGCGAATTAATTAGAGTTATTTAGATAAATATTACTTTTATATTGTCAACTATATTTATATTGTAGCCTATCTATATTATATTACCTGAACAAGTTCACTTACTTTACCGACAGAGTTTAACTAAATGTTTGTAGTTAATTAAATTAATAGCCTGGAAGTTGTACTTAGTTAAGTTTTATTTTCAAAATAGTTGAAACTGTTTTAACCAAAATAATCTGACTGTATTTATTAACAAGGTTTTATTTACTTGTCACTAGAAAAAATATTAAATAATCACTTTACCGTTGTTAATTTATTTTCAGGAACCCTCAACCGTTTGTTATCTCTTCGTATTTTTGTGGTGTTATACAGTCTGAATGTTTGGATATATCTGCTTCACTTTTCAATCATGTTTTACGTCTTTTGCAAAATGAGAAAAGCTACAGGTGCTTTACAGTTTAATTTGGTAAAGTTGAAAATTTTCATGTTATGTAATACATTTGCATATCTGACTTTAATAATTCGCAAGTTGACCTATGCACTTTCATTTACGTGATAATTTTAGTCATTCTTATGGCTACAACATATAGGCCTAAAAATTTGTATAAGTGTAAAAAATAGGTACACACACACAGGCAAACAATATGTACAATACTTAAAAGTTAAAAATAGAAAAATCAGTAGACGCTAATACTTTATCCATAGAATTTTCGGCATATTGCATAATTTTAAAAATAACTAAGAAAAGAAAAAATTGAGTTGTTATCATAAACTTTTAACAGTTTTTCTTTAACAATGAGCACTTATCGTATAGGCCTAAAAATTTGTATAAGCGTAAAAAATAGGTACACACAGGCAAACAATATGTACAATATTTGAAAGTTAAAAATAGAAAAATCAGTAGACGCTAATACTTTGTCCATAGAATTTTCGGCATATTGCATAATTTTAAAAATAACTAAGAAAAGAAAAAAATTGAGTTGTTATCATAAACTTTTAACAGTTTTTCATTAACAATGAGCACTTATCGTATAGTGAAAAATAGTTAATATTGATTATATAATAATTTATAGTATTATTTGTATTATTGTAATCAATGTAAAGATTTTTATCTAACAAAAAATTGGGTCCCATTGAACTTCAATAACTTGTTTACAGCACAATTTATTTGTAAGTAGCATCATTTGATGCGTCTTGTCTATCTCGTTTAGCACTACCAGTTAAACACCCTGAGTACTAAATAGTAACATAACCTCTTAAGTTAATTTCAAAGGTCATCCAACATTACCTTTTCACCTCCTCCACCTCTCATCTTACTTTTAGATTCAGAGAAGTTTGTGTTGAAATCCAAACTCGAAGATGTACTGGAAGGAGATAAACGATTGACTCTGGGATTTCCTGTGCTGAAGCAAAGCTAACACACAACAAACTTTTTGCCAGGTCACACATGTGATCATGAATAACACTGACATTTATAAGTCGCCTAGCTGCCATTTAGATCTTAACTTAATGCCTCCCATCATAGCTTATGTGAATGCCGCCACATCCTTAGCTTCCCAAGTTCACTTTTCAAAGCTATGCCTCGAGTGATGACCAGGGTACTAAGCCCACTGCTACAACCAGGCAAATGAGCTTGATGCTTATATTAGGTCACTCTAGTATATCAATAAAATTTAAAATTCAGTAGAGCGTCGATTATCCGAATTAATTGGAAACTGAGGTCGTTCGCATAACTGATCTTTCGGATATCCGACTATGTACGAAAAAATAGTTTAACGTATCCGATGTTGAAATTTTTCTCCGTTGCGTGTCGCTTCGCATTGAACTTTCGTAGATGTTAAGCCTAACGAAGACTATCGTATCGTTAAAAATTATTTTTTTATTTTGTACAAACAAAATAAATATATTGAAAAATATAAAAACAATAAAAAATTATACTTCAGAAGTTAATTTAGTATCAAAAACGTAAAATATTTGAGTAGCCCAAAATATAGCCAAAGATTGCAGCGCCACCGCACTAGCAAAAATTTAAATTTTCCCACTGGAATTCTTTCGGATAATTGACTTTCGGATAATCGACGCTCTACTGTATCTTCAAAACTTTTTTCGAACCTGTGCCAAGTCTGCTTTAATTGAGCAGCGAATCATTGCTGTTTTTATTACTCAATTAAAGTGCTATTTTTTAAGGTCTTGCAATTTCACTTTTCAGAAATTATTCATAACTGATTACATTTATTTCTTTACAGTGGATGCTATATTCCTTTGTTATGTTTTTGTCACTGATTGCTGCTCTGTTCTTTTTTGTATTCTTCGAATCCCCATTGAGCAGTCTTCTGTCCAACGTGCTAAAAAACAGAACATCGCAAGAAAGAGTAATTCCCAATGAAAACATTACAGAAATGAAGACAGACAAGAATTCAAAAATTGTTGTTGTGTCATAAACATTGCAAATTATGTTGACATTACATATGTTGATAATATGACTCTGTTAATTAAATAACTTTAAGTATATTTAGTGTATGATGTATTATGATAATGTCACTTGTCTTGCTAACGGCATAAGGTTCTGATTGACCTTCGTTGCTGCTTTCGTATACTTATATGATTTTTTTTTCTAAACTTAGTCCATACTACTTACACATATGTAATCATTTTATAATTTTGCTGTCTGTTATGTTTTTTATCTGTAACTAAAACACAGAGTTAATCTCCAACGGGCGAATTGAATCTTAGGGCTTTACATTCATAAAAGTTAAATATTGTTGAAATTTGTTTATTCTGAAATGGTGACTTCTTTAGTTTGTTTTATCTGTCACAACGAAGGAAAAATTTTTAAATTCTGGCATCATTATTATGCCAAAAAGTTTGTGTAAAAATTTTTAACTGTAAATATATGCAATTTTTTAGCAAGATGTTTAGAACCTCCTAACAAGATATATCAGAAGAGAAGCCGACAGTAGAACAGCGTATACTAGAAACGTATATTGGCCCAGAAAAAATTTTTGAATATATTTCAATATTTTGATGTCAAAGATGCCTAGTGTCTGTTTATGCATTTAGTTGTGACAAAAAAAACAATTGTTTATCATGTTAATATACAAGAAACAAATAAAGAAATAGTTTTATTTGACATATAAAACAGTGGTAATTGTGGCATTTATTGTATATAATGCCACATCAGTTTACATCATTTATTGCCACATCAGTTTACATCAGCCGTATCATTTATTGCCACATCAGTTTACATCAGCCGTATGTAAACTGATGTGGCTATCGGGTATTTCTGACAAGCAGTGTTTGTCTTCTACCGCAAAATTTACCACTGCTGTAATAATGTGTAGCATATGTATTTTTAAGGGCAAGAAATCTTTATCAAACTGTAGTAGTTTTTATACATAATTTAATCGTCACAACGCATAATTGAGAAAGTTGGATGGCAGTCGTGGTTGGGGAAAGCTGAGAAAGACTTGGTTTGAACAAATAGTTAAGTATCTGAAAGAACGGAATATGTTGAGTCAAAGAAAAGAATGTGAGGAAGTATTCTTGAAAAGGCACGAGTGTGTCCGAAAAAAAAGTGTGCTTGCACGGGAAGGTGTGGAGAAAGTTGATGAATGGGTGCTTCATAGGACTGTAGACTAATTTTGCCTGTTACTCATTTTTTTTGGATTATAGGCGTAAAATATATATGTATATACTTTACGTTATAGTATGTAATTTTCTATCTAACTTATCGAAGCTAAGTATACTTATGCTATCCATAGACCTTCTGATATTCTATAGTATAAAACATAAAAAATTAACAAATGTCATCCCTATACATTAAAACCTGTCTATGGCGACAACCCACGGTTTCTTCAAAAAGTGGTCTTTTAGACAGGTGGTCGTCCAATACAGGTGGTGCTGTAATACCGTATTTCCATACGTATTTTGCGAACATTTTAGCCATTTCTTCTTAGCAAAACTTGAGGTGAGCAAAAATAAGCGTATTTTTTTAACTATAGAGCTAAAATTACTGTTTTTTTTACCCTATTTACTTACCGTATTATCTGATAAGAATAAATTACAATACCAATAAGCCTATAGACTTATTGGTGTTGTAATACAATACTGATAAGAATAAAATACAATACTGATAAGAATAAATTACAATACCAATAAGCCTATAGGCTTATTGGTAATGTAATTTATTCTTATCAGATAACCCGGTTTACAGGAGTGGTCGTGATATTATAAGACAGATTTAACACTAATATTTTAAAGATTAATACAATACTCGCATTTTCTCGATTATAATGCACACTTTTCTTCCTGACTTAATTAATTCGACTCGGTTCTTTTCGTTCGCTCCTCAGTTACGTGTATTACGTCATCAATATACAAGCGCGTCCTATCCCTCCATCACTTTGCTTTTGGTTTTCGTTACTTTAATCTTATTTTAACTTCAAAAATACTGTATTTTTTAAATATTTAATATTTTCTTAATTAATTAAGTACAATAACAAAAATTATTAATTAATAATAAAATAATTTTATTATTTTCTCTCATTATACGATTTCATTACAATCGCGGAATCGAAAAAGGAAGTAAAACTGATTTTTGCATTAATGCGTTTATTGTTTTTTGAATATTTTGCCTGCGAAAATTACTTGGATATTATTTTTCTAAAAATATCGTGGAAATAAGGTAGGTTGATACAGAAACTATTTATATCTCGTGTACTGTATATGAGCTTCAAAATAAATAAATAAAAATAGATTTTATCAAACGATGAGATCAGCCGATTAATTGTATCGTGTACTGTACAATCACCCTCAAGGAGAATACTGCAAGTCTAGGGTAAAATAAATTTAGTTTTTTTCACAATTAAACTTCGCCGCTAATTGCTGTTTTGATAACTTTAACACGATCTTCTAACGACAGCACTTCGGACATTTTCCAACAAACTGAAATGAATTTCCTTTGTTGCTAGACTAATTTATTAACTCCTGCATCTAATTTCGAGGGTGGGAGAAGTGCCCGGGATGGGTTCGAACGAGAGTTTAGACTAATTTATTATATTAGGAGGTAAAAACTTTGTTGAGATAGGTTCTTTCAATAGATTAGACCAGATTCGTTCGCGAAAGTGATCGCTTATTACAGGTGTTGTATGTTGTTTCGGACCAAAAATCGATGCCCGCGGTAGCGTTACATAGGTGGTCTTTAATACAGGTAAATTCCACAAAGACTCTATGGATAAACTATTTTGTGCCAGAAATTTTTGCCCGTTTTGACAGGTGCCCGTGGAATACAGGTGGTCGCCGAAGCAGTTTTCACTCTACTGTACGTGTGAATTTTCAAATGATATGTTAATGTAAATAGTTTACATTTGTAGATAATTTAAAATACATTTATGTTGTGAGAAAAGTATCAAGACCATTTCGAGATTCAAGAGTAACAATGGAAGCATAATTCACAAATTAGAACTACTAGCCATGACAGATTTTATTGCATTTGGAATGTAAAATATTTTTTGTATCGGATTGAAGGAGCAATTTTGTTTCTATTACTGGCACTGTATGGTATTTGAAATTAATATTAAAAATCTGCGACGTAATGATAATTTTAATGGCAATTCTATCGTAACAATAAAAACAAAAAGTTATCTTCTTTGAAAAAGTTTTTCAGTGTATTTGTTATTAATTATTTTAAAAGGACAAATAAAACAATGACGTTAATTGAATTAATTCTTCGTTTTGTGACACATACAATACACATGATTAAAGGAACATTTTCATACGTACAGTAGGTACAAAATTATCATTACACGGATTTAAAAAAAAATTATTCAATAAATGATAAAATGCAATAAACTTTGAGTTATGTTATTTTATTCGGGTTTACATTAACAGATTTTTCAATAAAGTCCGACTAAAGATTTTATCAAATATTATTTGTGCGATTGTAGTTCCGGATTTGATAACCACATTTAAAGCTACTCTACCATAGCAATTATTTGACATTTTTACCATCAAAATTCGTATAAAATTCTATAATGTAATTTTATAATAAAATTTGTTTGATTTAGTTACATAGTTATTATTACTAAAAAAAGTTGTATCCTGCTGCCCATTCGAAAGACTTCGGAATTTTTACATTTTCGCGTAGTTTTCCGGAACATACAATATGTAAAATAATAGAAACAATATTTATTTATTACAATTAATGCAGTTATATTTTATAAAATTTTTATTACAAAAGAATATGGTTATTTTATTATATTTTAGAAGGAATTTACTATTGTATATTGTATTCAATGGTGATTTTAATGACGCTGCTTTATCGCATGCCTGTATCCTGCAGGAAAATATTTTATTAAAAACATTGTGTACGAAGTAAGTTTTTAAATTTCGTTTTTTTATTCTACAATATTAATTACATATCACTATTTTGGTGCTGATGATATCGGAGTATCTGTAAACTTAAAAATAAAAAGTATAAAAACAAATGATATTACATCTATGCCATTATCTAAAATACACGTTTGGTAATAAAATGCCGAAAGAGATATTGTTCTAAAGATAAACTGTTACTACACGATTTCTACTTTTAATTCCGTATTGTTAATCGTTCAATAATTCTGTATTATATAATACTTCTTCGTATTTTTAGTGACTGAATGTCTTACAACAAATTTTTATCTGTTTTTCTTTAGTTTTATTATTGAAAACATAATAATACACTAGCAAATAAGCTCGGCGTTGCTCGCGCAAAAAGTAACATCATCAAATATTAAGATTATTAGATTATTTCGTACTTCTAACCTTCTATTATATAATAGTATTTGATATATATTTACAAAAGTTATCTTGCGTAAGAGTTTATCACACTGAATGCCCCATCTAGAACATTTAAAGAAAAAAAGTTAAATTGCGTACACTAGAAAAATAAAACAATTTTAACATGTGTTAGATTTGTCACGGGTGTGATAAACTCTTACTTAACATAACCTTTCTAGTTATAAATCAAACAGTATATCAGGGGTGGTTAACCCCGCGCTCGTTAGCGATTTATTATGCACCCACGACACGATTCCCGATAAATTAAAATAACTTTTTTTTAAATCCAACCAATTTCATGATATAGCTTTTAAGCAGCATTTTCTTGAAATTACTTATTACTTATTTATTAATTGAAATTTTTAAGTAATTACTTATTGACATATTAACTAACTCTATATATATTTAATATATTTTAATATTTAATATTTAATCATACGACCCTATGGCCATTGGCCTTTTTCAAGGGTCAAAAGAAAAACTAATGATACAAACATTTACGAAGTAAACAATCAACAAAACAACAAAAAAAACAGAGAAGACAAATACATAAAAAAAAAATACACTCAACTAATCACATCTCAATATTTTTACAGCCCGTTTAAATTGTCCGTAAGTACACAAATCTTTATATTCTCCTTTTAAGGCATTCCAATTATATATAAGTTGATAAATTAGTGCATCTCTTCCAAAA